GGGGGATGGCGCAGTGGTGGAGCGCCTGGAAATTTTCTGCTGTCTCACGTCAGCAAAGATCGAAGGTTCGAATCCTTCTCCCCTCACAACCATATTTATGGTCCACCCACATGAGGGAGTTACTCATTAAACTACCTATTCGACTGAGAGAGTTACTCGTTAAAAACTTGAGAGGAAGACTCATTTAAAGTGAAAGATCTGAGAGAGTTACTCACTAAAAAACTACTAGGCTACGAGCCTCACCTTCATTTAGATAACCCCCTACATTGTACCTACTCAATTTGTACCTAGATTAAATTCTAGCCTACGTAGTTACTTGCAGGCCTTAAGCCTGCACGTCTTATATAGCCCTTTGGGCTAAGAAAGGACGTTAAACTACAATAATAATAATAATAATAATAATAATAATAATAATAATACTATTTCAAAAAGTAAAGTTCTTACTACTATTATAGATAGAAGGTATAGTCTAAGTATAGTTATAGCTAAAATTATTTATATTAGATATAGTAGTAGTTATATTTAGTATAAACTTAGTCTAAACTCTACTAGCGCTACTAGTAGCAATATTACAATTTCCGCTTATATTATCTATCATAAAGCTATAATAAAAAGCTATAAAGATGTTATAGAAACTAAGATAAAACTATAGTAGCATATATTAAAAAAGTTATAATATAATACTAGTAGGTGTAAAGAAGTAGAGTATAAAGAGTAAAAGTAAAAGTAGTACTTTAGCTAGAGTTTAGTTGTTTTAAGGACAGCTAAGTTTTGCGCTAAATTAGCGCTAGTTTTAAGGGATAGCTAAACTCTAACTAAGGGACAGCCGAGCTACATACTCGTTGGGTTCCAAAAGGCGGCAGCCCCATGTACACAAGCAGTTGGTGCGTTGGGAGCGCGACAACGCCCGCGGGCCCAGTGCAGAGCCTCATCGCGGCGCCCGCACAATAGGGAATCCGTGGCAGTCTAATCTCAGGCGGGACGATGCCAAACTCGATCGGGGCCAGGAGAGATTAGGTGCGCTCCAAGCCACACGGCAATGCGCCCGGCTATGCCCCTGCAATGGCGAAGTAAGGCGTGCCAACCAAACAAGCGTGCGTAAGTAGGTGAGACGGGTGGACCGTGGAGACGGGTGGCCATGCGCCCGCGGCATGCTGAGGCGTCGGTGGGATGGACATGGAGATGGTCGCCAGGGCGAACTCTTGGGGATTGCCATGGTGAAGGAGGCGGCGGGAGGCAGGCCACACGCCCCGATTGGAGACCGGGCGATGCCAAGACATGGCTCATTTGGCAAGCCCCGTTCTCTTTTTTCCTTCGCGCTGCATGGCTGGCGGCGCCTCACGGGTATCCGCTCACACGACGCAAGCATTGCATTGCATTGCCATGATATCCAGCCTCGCAACGCCCTTCTTCATGTCTGCCCTTCTCCTCTGAGCGGAGACGTTGCGCTGCACACATGCTTCTCCGCGCCCTCTTCATCCTCGTGGCCGCCCTGCTTGCCACTGCCGCCGCCCATGCCCATGCCCATGCCCATGCCCATGCCCATGCCGCAGGATCCGGCCTGGATTCGAGGGCGCTGAGCCTCGACAATCTTCCGCCATGTGGGGTTGGTGATGGACATGTCCCCAAGACCGCTGGATGTGCCTGCTGACAACATGGCAGCTCACTTGCATGGTGTTGGTCGTGCCGACTACCAATTGCTCCCTCGACGACATCAACTGCATCTGCCACGACAAGCAGCTGCTCGACAGCGCGGGCGACTGTCTCATCGCGAACTGCACCATGCAGGAGACGCTCGACACGTCCAGAGTCCAGGCTGCGCTCTGCAACCTGCCCAACGACTCGAGGCGCCACGAAATCCTCATCACCACCATCACCGTCTACCTGGTGGCGCTGGTATTCGCTGTCGCCAGGACCGCCGGCAAGATCGTGTCCAAACGGCTGGGTCTGGATGACGCCATGGTCATCGTTTCCGTTGTACTGACCATCATGCCCCTGGGCTGCGCTCTGGCAAGTGAGTGAACAGCGGCCCTGCATTCAGGCCATCGCAATGCTAACCCGGCCCAGTGACGCAGCGCGGCTTCGGTGAGCATATCTGGAACCTCAAGGACGGCGCGCTGTCGACCATTCTCAAACTATGTACGTCGGGACGCCGCCTGCGTATTGATTTCTCTTGTACGTCATGGCTGACATCTGCTAGTCTACATATGCGCTGCAAGTTACGGCATCGTCCTCGGCATCCTCAAGGTCGCTCTGCTCCTGTCCTACCTCAGCATCTTCACAGAGCCGCGGTTCCGCATCCTTGCTTACATTACCATGGCCTACATCATCATCAGCACCACCATCATCTTCTTCTTGTCAGTTTTCCTGTGTTCGCCGGTTGAGTCTTTCTGGAACAGAGACATCAAAGGAAAGTGCATAAGCCCTAAGAACGTCTCTTATGCAAACTCGGCCAGTGCCATAGTGCAAGACCTTATTCTCCTGGTGCTACCTCTCTTCTACATCCGAAACTTGCAAGTCAATCGCTGGCGCAAACTTGCTGTGAGCCTCATGTTCGCTACAGGCACCTTTGGATGCATTACCACCATTGTTCGCCTGCACACCCTGACGCTTTACACCATCTCCTACGACCCTACGTGGGACTATGCCCCCCTCGTCATTTGGACTGAACTGGAGCTTGTTGCAGGTCTAGTATGCATATCCCTTCCGCCTATTCGCGTCCTGGTATCTCGGCTTCTTCCACCACGCGTCAGAGAATTCTTTTCTCGCATTACATCAAGCAGCGGCTCGAGGTCGAACCCGTCCGACTTTTCCAGACCAAAGATAAGAACATCGGTTCCACCACAGCGCTCGTCATCCGACCAAGATTGGCACAGGCATTCGGGTAGAAATTGGGTCTCAATCAACGATCCGAAAGGCGACAGTCCCCAAGATACCGCCATCGAGTTGAGTCGTGTATCCAAGACCGAGACGGACCTCACCAACCATGCATCGTTTCGAAGTTCGAATACTGATAAAGGCGAAATCTCAAGGATGTCTGCCATAGGACGTTTGTCTGATCGATCATACTCGGAAGAGTTCCTGCAGCCCCACGCCCTGACAACGCCAGCCTCGGGCCAGCATGCACCCGTATGAAGCAGCGTCAAGAGTCGGGTCTGAGCAGAGGATAGATTGAAATAGAGTTATCCACGTTGAGCTACAAGACTACAGCAACCTTGTCGTCCTGCTTCTGCTTATCCGAAACAATCCACGCCATGCCCAGCGCCAGCAGTAAATCCATACCCGGCGCTACATACACAATGTACTCGGCATGCTGGTGCTTCCACTTCTCATGGCGAGAGATGGTCGCTGCCGGGCTACCGTGGACGACAATACCCTGCTCCTCGCCCGACACGTCCCGTTTGAACTCGACTTTGCCGGGCAGGGACTGTTCATGCACTGCGAGATCTGGAATTCACTCGGTTCAACCTCCCGAGCGACAAAAAAGTGGGGCGGAAACACTGAGGGTGATGGGAAGAGCATGGGCATGCGTACCGTATTTCGGAACCCGCCATCCCGTCTTCAACTCAACCTCCCAGATGACTTTTGCATCCGAGCTCCTCACTGCCTTGTACTCTGTCTTATGGCGATAGACACTGTGCCTTTGGACATTGATGCGCATGGCCTCATTTCCGTCAATGGTCCTGAAGACGACCGCGCCGGCTTGCTCCTCGTGGACCTGCAAGAAGGGGGTTTTCGCACCCCTCTCAGGGGCCACGAAATGGACGGATGAGGCAGACCCACCAAGCAGCTGGTCTTGGGATTTTAATAGCAACACTTGGTGAGTTTGTGCAGTCAAGTGGGGGATAAGCACTAGGCCGGGGAAGGGAAGCGACGGGAGCATCAATGGCATTTGGAGAGATATCGTTTGCGATATACGGCCGTTTCGGCGCTGCTTCGGTGATCTGCTTCGTGTGCAGAGAGGCTGGTCTAGGGAAGCAAGACCTATATCGTATTACAAGCCGCGTTCTCGGTATGTTGTCATCTCCTCTTTATACCCCAATGGGCGTCAGCAACAAGAATGACGTCGATTTTGTCAGCTTTGTGTAACCCAAATGTAGTGATCCCTTGACGAATCCGCATCGCAATCCACCACTTGCGCTCGGTCCAAGCAACAGCGACAAGGGTTAAATGCAGCCACTAATTACAACTCGAGCGCTAGGACTCGCATCCCTTCAATTTCCTTAGGCCAGCACCGGCACCAATCTCACCGCCGTCATAGCCGTGCGGCCTACCACGTGGGAATGGCTGGTCTGTGTTGGAAAAATTCCCATATGGCGTTCTCGACCGCCGTTTCGGACCTCGCGTACAATCCCACACTGACGAACGGTGTAGGTATTACCGAAGTGAGCCCTTTAGCGCGACTCCAACACCTCCCTATCAATGTCGTTTGTTGCTGCGTCTCGCTCAAAATGGTTTTACTGCCGTTGGGGTAAATATGATTCGCCGAGGTCCTGACTCTTGGACGTCGCTGTCACCGCTTAGTCTACATAGACGTCTAACTCCAACACCTGCCGATCGCCAGGCAAGCGAACATGTCATCTGGCTAATATGCTAGCGTTGCTAAGTCTCGCCGGATTGGAGATAAGGGCCCTTGCACAGTTCATGTTGTCGCCGTGGACAGCTAGCACGCACGGCAAGTGGTACCGGAGCCCATTCACTAGCCAAAGACACTGAATCAGGATTTCAATAGAACGACACCTAAGGAGAATCTACGGTGAGTCTGGCCTCATAGTACTACACCTGTACTTGCATGGCAAGTAGACAAAAACCCAACTTGCGGTCCACAAAGTCCACATGAGGTATCGCCTACACGTGCCCAAGAACTGGTCAAAGCAGCTTTATGAGCCTTACGTGCTTACTAGAACCCGCCGGTTCACGAGAGCCCTGGCCCCCTTGATCAAAAGATCGCTACTGCGTTGGGAGCACTACCCACGCCCCCTGGTACATCCCCCGGCTTACTGACGAGCAAGAAGGACCGTCGTTGCTCGCTCTCGCATCTCTTTGCTAGCCCCTCAAAGTCCCACAGCTCGCCAATCGGCATGCCCCATAGACTAAGCATGCAGGCATGCAAGCTCGCTTCGAAGCTCTCGGGGGGCCAAACCTCGAAATTCGCATTGTCGGTGGCGGCCGCGGCGAAGTAGCCGTCGTGCAGAAAGTCCTTCATTGCGTCGTCTGCAGCAAGCCCGGCGTAGAAATGCTCGTGAACTGCTAACTTGCTGCGCTCAGACTTTTGCGCCGCCGACAAGGCGTTGTACGTCGCTAGCCACCCCGTCCGCACCAACAGGATATCCGCCGTCCTCAGCTCCGTTCCCTGGCTCTTTGCGCACGCCTGTAGGTCCTCTGTTGTAATAGCATGTGCGGCAAACGTGTCGTACTCTTTGTCCTGTTTTCTCGCCCAAGCGTAGACATCAAGGAGCACACCACGACCGATGATGCCCTTCTTGGCCCACGCATCGATGCCGAGCTTTCTCGATCGCCCAGGCGCATCCTTGCCGCCATCCTGCTCCACACTGCCCATGATGTCGTCTGACACGACGCCATTGTAGTGGCACTCATACACAGGGTGCGCAAAATGGCGGAACCCGTCCCACTGGCTGCTGCTCTGCGTATTATACGACACCTCGTCGTCGTAAGCCCCCTTGCCAATCGGCCGTATGCGATGCTGCAGCGGCTGCCGCCCAAACAACGTGGGACTCGGCTCGTTCAGCGGAAGGTCCAGCGAAATAGACTCCCCCGTTTGCACGCTTTCCTGTACCGTCTTCAGCGTTCGTTGCGGTGTAAGCAAGTTCAATCTCCCTAGCTCGTCGCCGCCGCCCCAGAACCACGCGTTTCCTGGAGGCGTCCCCGCGCTGTGTGGCAGGGCTGCCCGCTTGGGAAACGTAGATGCCGAGCCGTTGGGATCCAGGCGCATCATTGCTATACCCTGTGTTGTTCTTTTCTGTGATGATCTTGTGGCGTGCTTCTTACTTGGCCTTTTATCGAGAGAGCAAAAAAAGAGAGGAAGAAACAAAGAAATTTGTTCTTGGAAAACACCTCCAATCACTTGGCTTTTTTTTCTTTCCTTACAGCTGTGCCGTGACGTCTATACATACTGTAGGTAATAGTTTTTTTTCCCCCGCGCCCATTCCTTCAGCCCCGCTTTTCAGCCCTGCAAATCCCCATCAGGAGCGTGATAATGTCACGTAGTTTCCACCAGATTAAGTAAACGCTCAATAACCTTCCTTTGCTTTTTTCCGTTTTTTTTTGTTTAATTTACCCGTATGCCACCACGACATGTGATTACGTGCATGATGTTTCGCAGGAAACATTGCATGCCTTGCATGTCTTGCTTGGCTTTGCCCTTGACTTCTTGGCTTTGGCTTTTTGCCTCTTTGTCTTTGCGGAAGTACATTGGGATATAACTAAGTAAGTACGTGGGCTGCTGCATTCGATCTGCTCGTCTCGTCTCGTATGTACTAGGGTAAGTACACCTAAGTAAGGGTGGTGTATCCAGCTCCCGCTCCACCCCCTACCTCCCATGTGCTGTGCACAAAACAATTCATGTGCTGGGCCCAAAAGCTTACTACTGTGCGCTCTACGTATGCAGATGAGTAAGTACTTGGGTCGTGTCGACGCAAGCACATATGTACGGTAAGAAAAGATGTGCATGTGGATATGCATGTAGATGTGGATGGGTGTTGGATGCGGGGGAAAGGGAAGGGGAGGGGCAAAGGAGGGGGGGGGGAAACGCTAAATAAACTTGTCTAACGTGTTTTATCAGTAAGCGGCCCACATCAGTAAGTGGCCCACCCCACCAAACCTGACGCGACGCTCTACTCAATTGCTCTACAGCAACTTAATAAAATTAAATTAAATTAAAAGATATTATTCTTTATCTAGCTTTACATGAAGTCCGAGTATGTCCTTGAACGTGGCACTTCGTGCACGTTGGCGGCGCGCGCTGACGTCGCTCGCCAGTCTGGTTCTGGTCACCCCCCATCACCACCCTTTCTGCCTCTGCAATGATCTGCTGAGCCTGTTGGACCTGGAGCACCCCACTAGAAGCGATATATTGACGCTGCCGCTCCTGCTTTTGTCGTTGGCGCTGGTTTTCTTTACGTAGCTTCTTAATTTCCTCTGTAAGTATTGTTACTGTTTGCATTGCAAGCTAAGCGCTTTTAGCAAGCTGGCGTATCATAACGCTTGTTGGGCTCTCTGATCTCCGGCGTAACCGCTCTTGGAGATAGCGCACCTTCTGCTGAAGCTCTGCTACTGTTTGTGGCGTCTCTGTCTGCGCTGCTGCTGTCTGCATAGCGGCGTTATTGTCTGTAGTTGTCTGTGGTGGAGACGGTGTCCTAGCCACTGTAAGCGACGATAGGACGCGATCTGGACAAA